TTTCAACTAGATCTCTCTTAGTTTAGTGATGCCTGAGGAGCAGAGGTTTATCCGACCATCTAAAAGATTCAATTCAGAGAATTAGGCTATCATTTATCTTATCTAGAAGAGGGGAGGGATCACATGATGGCGGAAGGTAAACATTACAAAGAAGAATACATTTACCACTTAATTCACACATGATAAACACGACATTAACACTGTACAAATGAGACAAATTGACAAATTTAAGGCTAGGATTTACTACAATGACCATAGCTCACAACCTAGAGTTTGCCATAGCAAACTCTGTTAGCTGAGATTGGCAGCGATGGGATTTTGTCGCGCGCGGCTGGGAGCTCTTGTAAAAGTAGTAAATCTATGTTCTCCTCACGACAATAATTCAATACTGAATACAAACAAGGCTGAGAGCGTCTTATATTGATTTGTAGGCACTTGTAAACATTCATTTGACCATCAAATTATTGAACTGATCCTGGGCATCTCGCATGTGCTTGCACATCATGGAGTTGGCATTGTGCTTGTCACCGCACCTGTGACACTTAAGCACGCTTTTATTTTAACAGGCAGTTGTAAAATGTGCACCTGCACAATTGGCGCACTTTGGGCGCTTTGGTGCACTTTTTACCATCAGTGTGCGTCCTGTGAGAGAGGCTACCGCAGATACCACATGGGAAGACGCGTTTCGTCCGGGCGAGCCTGAGGGACAGGAAGTCAACAGTGACGCGACCGCGTGCAAGAAGAGCTTCCTCGATACCCTTAGTGACCTCTATGATAGCGGTGGAAGGCGAACCTTCCTTCCTAATCAATTTAACCAGCTTCAAGAGAGCCGCCGCTGTTATTAATTAACTGCGGGGCTATCACAGGGTTTTCCATCAGATCAGACACCAGATCATATTCAGATTTTTCGACAGGGATGCCGAAAATTGTCAACCTTGGCCTGAATGTCGGATTTGGTAGGTGTTTGCGCCTAGTTATGTAAATAACTTGCTAGGCTGCATTGATTTATAATCATGTAAATTTTTGTTTCTTTCTTTTATTTATGTAAATATATATGTATATAAAATGAGTGAAAGATTCAATAAAGTCATTCAGTTAGCTAAAACGAGTGAGGCGTCCTTCCTCTATCCAAACAGCTTGCTACATCGCATTCTTGCGAAGGAACAACATTCTCGGCAGTCAATCCGCCGGTCTGGTCTCATAAAGTACAGTCATCAATAAGCTCTGCCACATATCGTCATCACCTCAGACCAGACTAGAGGCTGAAGGAGCGAAAGTAAGTTCTGGCTAACATTGTCAGGAACCAAGCTCCAACATATGGTCCTTATCGAGCCGGATTCCAAGAAAAAGAGCGTGATTCTACTGAGAAGGAACCTTCAAACTGAAAATATGTCTAAAGCAATCAAAAGCCTAAAGGTCAAGATCCGTTCCCAGATTAGACGATTGGATAGATACCTGGCATCCATAGATGAAGACATATCGGGAGGCGATCTCCATAAATTGAAACTGATAGATGAAGGTATATCAGAAATAAAAACTGAAACAAAAATCCTATTCGATGAGGTATTTGAACAGGAGGAAGTAGAAGAAGAGAAGGAACTCGAAAGTTATGGAACAATTCAAGATAAAATGGAAAAACTGGAAATAAAGCTTAGACGTGCATTAGAAGGAATACTAAGTACAGCTGATGCCAAACAAGCAAAAGGCCTCGAAGCGAGGAGAAGCGAACTCTTGGTTCAATTTCAAGGAGGTATTCGGAATAGCCATACATCAGAATCCAGGGTTAAATGATCTACAAAAGCTGCAATATTTAGGCTCCGCAGTGAAGGGAGAAGCAGCCAGACTGATACGTGGGTTCCCAGTGTTATCAGAGAGCTACAAGCAAGCATGGGATACTCTAGTATCCAGATACGACAACCAAAGAGAGTTGGCTTATGCGCAACTGAATAAAATCTTCAAGATCAAGCAAATAAAGAATCCATCAGCAAAAGCCCGAAGGGAACTCTTGGACACATGTAACGAGTCTGTACGCAATCTAGGATCCCCCGGATTGCAAAGAAATGAGTTGGTAGACGTAATATTGGTACAGTTCTTGAGGAACAGAATCGATGAGGATATGAAACGACAGTGGTAGTTGACCCAGGATGAGAGATCATTTCCTTCTTATGAAAACTTCATTTTATTTCTTGAAATACAAGCTAGAAGTATGCCACAGGGATCAAGGGAATATCAAAGAAAGGAAAATGAAATTCAAAAGGACTATGCAAATGTACACATTGCGATTAATACCAATGTTCAAATATGTATAGCATGCAAAGCAGGTCATAGAATCTACAACTGTACTACATTTAGTACCATGCCTATCGAACAAAAATGGGAATTTGGCAAGCAAAACAAAATGTGCTACAATTGTCTAAAAAAAGGTCATGCAAGAAAAAATTGTTACCAAGGACCTTGCAAGAAGTGCGACAAAAGGCACCATACATTACTCCATAAGCTTGACACAGAGGTAACTAATACTCAGAAGGGTGCGAAGCCACAGATCTTTACACCTGTAAGTGAAATCAACAACACGAGTATTGAACAAGGAAGTGAGACCATTAATCAAGTACTCCTTGCGAATGCTCAAATAATTTTGGAAGGTGAAAACGGTACACAGCAGATCTGCCGAGCACTTTTAGATAGTGGATCACAAGTTAGTTTGATCACAAAAGAAATTTGTGAGAAACTTGGGCTCAAAGGAGAAACATCACGACGTTCACTTAGGGGTATTGGAAATAATCCAGTCCAGGGGTCATCTACATCTGTTAACTTGACATTCAAATCAATTTATAGATCCGAAAAGTACCAAACAAATGCTCTAGTAATGGAAGTCTTAACAACTGAAATTCCAAACTTCAAATTGGCAGAACCGACCTGGATCATGCAGAGAGGGCTTGAGTTGGCAGACCCCCTGTTTTATATTTCGGCACCTAACGACATTATTCTAGGTGCAGATATGTATGCATATTTGATGCATTGAGAGAAAAATGCTGGGAAGGAACCAGCCTATAGCAATGAAATCAAAGCTCGGTTGGATTCTAATGGGCAAAGTAGACGGCTCTCTCTCGTCGAACTATAAAGGTGGACCGTGCAGCTTTACGGTTCAAACAACATCAGAATTAGATGGTCTGGTGAGGAATTTCTGGGAAGTGGAGTCAGTGCCGTCATTACAAGACCAGAAAACAAAGGAAGAAGATTATGAAACTTATTACATGAAAACCTATTCCAGAAACTGCCAAGGAAGATACAGTGTGAAACTACTATTCAGGAAAGCCCATCATGCACATACTTCACTTTTTCCTAACTCCTATTCAAGCCATACTTCTCAGAGATTAATGCCTATTGAAAATAGCATGTCCAGAGCTAACAGCGAAGCAAAAATATCACCGCATCTAGGTCATCCCTCCATTATTTCAGAAGTCAACAGGAATTCACCGCAGGCAGCTCATCAAAACAGCTCCATTCCTACCTCTAATTCTCCAATAATTCCACTAAGAGGAATGTCTAGTGAAAATATCTTACACAAAACTAACCTGGACAGCGGGAGGAGTTTTCAGGAGACCAATCACCAAGCTGGCCCCTCTTCCCTTCGAGATCTGAACTGAAGTTCAGCGGTGGGGGGGAGAATGTTTGCGCCTAGTTATGTAAATAACTTGCTAGGCTGCATTGATTTATAATCATGTAAATTTTTCTTCTTTTAATTATGTAAATATATATGTATATAAAATGAGTGAAAGATTCAATAAAGTCAGTCAGTTAGCTAAAACGAGTGAAGCGTCCTTCCTCTATTCAAACAGCTTGCTACATCGCATTCTTGCGAAGAGACAACATTCTCGGTAGTCAATCCGCCGGTCTGGTCTCATAAAGTACAGTCATCAATAAGCTCTGCCACATATCGTCATCACCTGAGACCAGACTAGAGGCTGAAGGAGCGAAAGGAAGTCCTGGCTAACATTGTCAGGAACCAAGCTCCAACAGTAGGACTTTAAGACCGTCAATGTTGGCGTTCTTAATTCCGACCACAAACCGCTTTAATTCTGCAGAATTGAGGAAGTGAAGGACAAGTTTTTTTGTCCTTCTCTCTCTCTCTCTCTCTCTCTCTCCCAGTTACCGCCGTCACATCATAACTCTTAAACTGTGGAGTCTTGGCAATTTTGGCTCTGCTGGCCTAAAAAAGATAAGTTGTCTGAGGCAATTTTTACATGGTTTACACTGTTCTTTAACGTCTGCGCGTAGGTTGAACGCGCTGCACTCTAGGGTGTACAGTTGTGGGTTGGTTGGACCTAAGTTGGATGGTAGAAGTATCTGGTTGGGGGATTATTTTACCGGAGTTAGGAGGAGAGGGAGGCTTGGCCAACCTTTTCCTAAGTTGGGTGACCTCATTTTCAACTATTTTTACTTTTTTTTAAAGATTCTTAACACTTCAGTTTGCAAAGCCTTAAAAATACGTCCTAGATCGTCTTTCACTGAGTCAGATAACCCAGTGCGGGTGGTGTCAGGAAGGTTAGAGGCAGTGATATCCGCTACCTCGTGAATATTTTTGTTGAAAAGAGAATCTTTCTCTTCCCAGCAGTCAGAGGATCCAGAATGGGTGCAGGAAGGAATGGAAGTAGGGGTCTGGGGGATCTCACCTTGGGCAGTCCTATTAATTGGAGCGGAGACCTCTTCGGCCACGGTCCCAAGACTTGTGGAGGGCTCCAAAGGTGGGAATGGGTCATCAGTTGACATGGCCCGCGTCTGCAGGCGAGTGTAGACCATCTTGTATCTTGTTTCCTCAGAGTTGTCTTGGTATTCAATCGTTGTAAGAAAAAACGGCCATCGGGAAACAACAACAATGAGTTTTTATAGGGGAAGCGTGACCTCTGGCGGTCGATTTAACAGAGTATTTGTATCTATTATAATATATATAGTTATCAGCGTCATGCACAATTCTTTATTAATCAATTCTGTCACCGTTTGCTTTTGGTTCAGTGGTAGTTGCTCGCCTGCCACGCGGGCGCCCCGGATTCGATTCCCGGCCGATGCATTTTTTTTTTAAACTCTCATTTATATTATTAAAATATATGTGCTTTTCCTGTCTATGTACAGATTTATGGTCTATGTACACAAGTATACAAGTATGTATACAAGTTATTTGCAAATTGCGTTGCAAATTTGCCCTTTCGCTCGCAAGCAGCGCCTCTAGCGGTGAAGATGGGAGGTAATTTCAGCTGACCTAATGGACATGTGAAACGTGTTTAAAAGGACATAAAGAAAAATCTGGAAAAGATATTTTTCGGATTTTTAGTCAAGAAAAATAAATTGACAGGTTCTGGGAAAAAAAGTAGTTTTTTATTCAGAAAATGATGATGGCAATATTGCTGTATCATATTTGATTATCAGATACAAAATTATTTCCGGAAAAATTCCAAAAAGCAGAGACCACGGGTGAAGCCAGTTCATTTTTAGTATGAAGCAACAAAATTCTAACAGAAAAACATTCATTCGAGCAGAAAACACAAAGCCAGATCATCTCTTTATAAAAATATCGCTTCTCAAACACAGAGTTTGGAGCGGGACGTTTCACGAGAATGACATCCATGGCGCCAATTTATAATTGTAACGAATAGTATTTGAATAAAAGCATTTAATCGGGTAAAACCCGGGCATTGCCCGGGTCATTCGGCTATTTAATATATACAGTTATCAGCGTCATAATCAATCCTTTCTTAATCAATTTTGTAACCGTTTGCTTTTGTTTCAGTGGTAGAATGCTCGCCTGCCACGCGGGCGCCCCGGGTTCGATTCCCGTACGATGCATTTTTTTTTTTACAATTTTAAAAACTCATTTATATTATTAAAATATATGTGCTTTTCCTGTCTATGTACAGATTTATGGTCTATGTACACAAGTATGCAAGTATGTATACAAGTTATTTGCAAATTGCCTGGCAAATTTGCCCTTTCGCTCGCAAGCAGCGCCTCTAGCGGTGAAGATGGGAGGTAATATCAGCTGACCTAATGGACATGTAAAACGTGTTTTAACAGGACATAGAGAAAAATCTGGAAGAGATATTTATCGGATTTTTAGCCAAGAAAATTTGAAATTGGAAGGTTCTGGACATAAATAGCTGTATTTTATTCAGAAAATGATCATGACAATATTGCTGTATCATGTTTGATTATCAGATACAAAATTATAACGGGAACATTTTCAAAAAGCAGAGACCACGGGTAAAGCCAGTTTGTTTTTAGTATGCAGGAACAAAATTCTAACAGAAAAACATTCATTCGAGCAGAAGACACAAAGCCAGATCATCTCTTTATAAAAAAAATGATACCAAGATAGAGAGTGTTAAGGATTTCTTCTTTCTCCCCTTTATTTGTAATGGAGGGACAGCGCACAAATGTGGCGTTAACACACTAAAACAATGGTTGCCTGTAAAGTCGGTTTTACGGGCGAAGATTTTACGTGACAACGGTGGAATATTTATTGATATGAATATAATTAAATTGCACAATAGGAACAAGGAATTGAATGAAAATAAGAATTGCACAAATTTTAACTATAGAAATATATTTTGTTTACTAAAACATTGTACATGTAAACTTAAACTTAACTAATTCCTATTTGAGTGTTTAAGGAAGTGTTTCTGCTGTAATGTGTCTTGCGAAAGTCAAGTCGATAGTTGTTCCTTTTAACGTAGTTGACTTAGAAACGTTTGATACGCAATCAAGATTATACGTATTTTTCATGAAATTAAGAAACGAGTTGTCAGGCTTTACGTTTTTGTTAAAATCACCACACAGAAGAATCGGTATACTAGAATCAACTTGCACGAACGGTGGCACGTACTGGCTGTTGTGAATGTACGGACCGAGTCCTTGCCATAGTAACATTCCAATATCCTGCATACTAGCTCCTGGATGAATATATACAGCACCGAGTATAAACTTGAAGCTAGTATTAGCGGCGAAGCAAGTAACTTCAGTCATGCACATGTCACCCTTGGTTTTAATGACACGAGTTACGTCTGTAATCGCAACTTGGAACACTTCCGCCGTAGATGTCGATGATAATTTACGATAGATCGCCACTCCACCAGCCGCGTTGGTATTTGAAAATCAAAACACTCATTCAGATCGAAGGTTCAAATTTTTGCTAAATAAATTTGAAAAAAAAATAAAATTTGTAATTGTAAATGATGAAGTTGAAAATTAAAACATTTACTTAAATTAGATGTTAAAATTCTTGCTCAACACAGTTTAAATAAAGTTTTCTTATATCTGCCACTTTTTCTTAATATTTGTAATTTTAAAGAATCAATTCGAAAATCAAAACATTTATTCAGATCGAAGGTTCAAATTTTTGCTAAATAAATTTGAAACTATTTAAAATTTGTAAAATAATAATTAATTAATTAATTATTTTTAAACTAATAATTTACACCACACGTGTGAACTTGTATTATGACGCTTTCTTGTTTTTCCAACGCCAAGAACGTTCGAGAAAGACAAAGACAGAGACAAGCATGCGCCGATTCAATGCGCCTAATTCTCTAGCGCTGCGCGCGCAGCTGCGCGCGCAGCACTCTCGTTCAGTGACTCATCGTAACGTTACCGGGCGTTACACTTTTTCATAAGTGACTCCCAGCCGCAACCTAATTTAAGACGTTGTCACGTCAAAATATCGCTTCTCAGACACAAGGTTTGGAACGGGACCTTCCACAAGAATGACATCCACGGCGCCAATTTATAATTGTAACGAATAGTATTTGAATAAAAGCATATAATCGGGTAAAACCCGGGCATTGCCCGGGTCATTCGGCTAGAATAACATATATATAAAAACTAGTACAAAAGTGAAATTGCACTTGAATCAGGTGGAAAAATTAGGAAAAACGGTATCTCCTGTTAGTAAAACTAAAAGTTTCTGATGGCTTGGGACACCGGGTTTTATTAAGTGGTTACCATTAACTTGATTAATCAAGAAAGGATATTTAGCCAATTCCAGAATAGTTCTTAGAATTAAGAGACGGTCATTGAATATTTATAAGAATATTTTTGCCCGAATATTATTATATATTTATAATTGTATGTAATTCTGCTGTCCTCTAAGCTTATGTCCATAGTTCATCTAAAATACCCATTCCAAGAGTCTAGCATCAGTATCACTATGAAAAGGAAGATCTAAAAATGCAATATAACAGCGGTATGGTAGATTAAACTGACGAAACCGCTGGGAAGGTTCATCACTGATGAGCCAGACCCTCCAATTAATTTTTTCATTGCAGTAAGGGCATTGGAAATTGTTTTATTTAAAAAAGAATCATACGTGTCTGTAATAGTTTCGAATTTTCACTGACCGAAGTCTCTCTTAATTATTATTTTTTGCTTATCCCTAGTACACGTGGTACAGGCCATGATAATCATGGTGGGTAGTAATATATAGGCGACTTCTTTTACTGTAAGTGCACCACATGTCTACACATGTGAAAAGCAGTTCGACTTAATTATAAAAATGAAATGTCTTCATGAAGTCTGGAATAAAAAAATCAACGACTAGTTGATATTTATTCCGATAGATGGAGTAAGTCATCAGCAACATTTATATGCACGATCTGGATATTGAAATGTCTGTGAAATTATATGCCTTTTTCTTTTTTATTAATATATATTAAAAACAAAAAAGGTATATCCTGACCAGGGGCACATGTGCTTTACAAAAGGCAGAGCGCCATCTGGTGGAACAGAAATCAACTAAACATTGATTTAACCTGTTCCCTGATATTTGGCCAACCCAATTTCTTGAAAAATCAAGAAAAGCCATCCACGAATGCGTTTCGCGCTGTTGGCGCTCGTCAGCGTGGTGTAAGCTAAGTAGGCTTGATTTATCAAGAAATTGGGTTGGCCAAATATCAGGGAACAGGCTAAATCAATGTTTAGTTGATTTCTGTTTCACTAGATGGCGTTCTGCCTTCTGTAAAGCACATGTGCTCTTGGTCAGGATATGCCTTTTTTGTTTTTAATATCAACACCTGACCTTTTCATTTTTTTTTCTATCATTTTTTCATGTGTTAAGCGTATATACGCAGGTTTGGTCTTAAATACCCATTTCTTGGTTTTTCAAGAAGCCTCTGACATCAAAAAATGTTTTTAGTTGCAGTAGTAGAGCCTGCTTCTCGCTGACGAGCGCCAACAGCGCGAAACGCGTCGTGGATGGCTTTTAATTATTTATCAAGAAAATGGGTTGGCCAAATATCAGGAAACAGGTTAAATCAATGTTTAGTTGATTTCTGTTCCACTAGTTAACGCTCTGCCATCTAAAAAGCACATGCGCTTTTGGTAAGGATATGCCTTTTTTGGTTTTTAATATATATAAATTAATATGAATTTATATATAATGAAAAATGTATTTTGTTGTGGACGTTATTGTTATTGTTGAAGACCTTGTAAAAGAAGCAATAAAGAAATTGATAAGACACTCTGGAATATAAGAAAATCACTATCAATCATTAAGAAAACCATCAATTGCCAACGTCCACCAATCATTGTCCATCAATATAATGATTTTCAATCAATAAAAACATACTATTTACATCTGAATGTGCGCAATCTCTTCCAACAATCGTCCGCTATGTACAATAGTATTTCCCCCGATAAATTAAAATCTGTAACAAAAAAAGGCACCTCTCCCTTCAAAAATGTACTAAAAGAATGTTTTTGTTCATCACTCCAGTACTAAATGTAAAGATGGTAATAAAGAGCAAGTAGCATTATAATTACGGCAAATTCAAAAAATATTCCAACCTGTTAACCATGATTTCGGGCTTTTGGCCCTCATCAGTAGAGAGGTGGCTTTTTTTCCATGAAATCCTACGAGGGGTTATGGAATCGTTCGAATTGGCCAAAAAGGTGTTTAAGCTTGTAGAAAGGCTGATTTTAGGGCTAGAATACGTCAAAGTTGCGGGAGGATCCATGTTTAACAATAAAATATATCATCAGCACGTGGAGAACAGCACAGACAATAACACAGATGATGGATCC